CATACTATAAGCAGTTAACAACAAAGGAGGATTGGCTACAAGAGAAACTAAATATTTAGTTACTCTCATCCTTTACTAATCAAATTTGTTATATACTGTTTCATTTATTCCTACTTTCGAGGAGGTGACGGATTAGAATAGGCTATCTGCCTATTCTAATCCGTCTGCCGTCAACAGCTTCTGCGCTTCTAGCTTAATATCATAACTGCCGAAGCCTCATTCTACTAAGTGAATAATTATATTTCAGAGCTTTATCGTCCGGAATCAAATCTCCGTTGTTGGTAACCGCACCACATCCAAACTATCCCCAGGCGGAGCTCGTCTCTGCACTGGGTGCTCTTATCCCACTCTATACACCTTTGAACGTTCGTGAAGAGGAAGAGCCGAATAAGTTTGATAAACTCGGATTACTGCCGGTAAGTACATATCATTCGTCTATTGTCACAGTTCAACGTTTTTTTTTTTCGAAAAAAAAAAAAAAACACGGTCAAGAGTGCTTCTCTTGTTACCCTGAAAGCACACATTTGAAGTTCCTATCACAAACTAGTTTTCCAGATAGAATTGGATGACTTGGTGTGTTTGGTGGAAGCGTTTGAGGCATCATTCACCGTTTGCCGAGATATTGCTGAAACTGGACCTGAGCGAATGTCGCCTCCCAAAGTGGCGGACTATATAAGGGTAGGAGGCAGAATCTGTTTATCATTGGCTGTTTGAATACATTTCATTAGAAGAGATTTCAATTTTTCGTTTTTATATTCAATTGGTGTATTCAATTGCCTTTTCAGTCGGTCTTCGATAGTAAAGAAATCACAGTGGAGGTGACAGATGATCAAGACGTGATAAAGAAGGAATATCCCATGATGGCAGCTGTCAACCGGGCGGCGAATACCGTGAAGAACCACCAGGTGCGGAAAAGTACAAAAAGCGCATACCCATATGAACCCTTCCAACTAGGCGGGTTGGTTTCTGTGCTGTCTACATCAGTCTAGCCTTTCTTTTCATATTCACTATGTACGGCAAAAAAGTGAGAAGGTTGGGAGGAGAATGACTTGTTTCGAATGTAGCCTTGGGACATAATTCATAAACATGTGCTTCTCTTGCAACAGCTACATGCAGGAGTTCAACCACTCTGGTGGAGTTATATCCTACCGCAAGAAATCCTCAGTGACCTATCGGCCTGTCCGCACTGCGCTCCAATTCATGTACCATGTACCGCTGTGGTGATATTGTTAGAAAGTACGATTTGCCAACTTTCGTGACGGCAGAGATTATCATTGGACCGGACTGATTCGTGGTCATCTTGTTACATCCTCATGCGGAGTTATGAATGGAGTAAAGAACTAATCTATTCAGGCTCGTCTTATTCGTCTAGAATATGTCGGTGAAGGGGAAATCGAGAATACTTACTTCTTGGTTGGAAAGGGCGTAACCATCGACACTGGTTAGTTTTTGCCAGTTATTTCGCAAAACCAACATATGCGTTGTTTTATGATGGGAAAGAATTTTTTGAACGAATTTTGTCCTAACGGTCATGTATTTCATGTGGTTGCGATTTGAAAACGGGTGGACACATGTGGGGTATGTGTCGTGACAAGTACGGAAGTGCAATCGTTGCTGGATTCTTCAAAGCTTTGGAAGTGCTTCAACCGAAAAATATCAAGGTATTCCTTTTGCCTGACTCACAGAACGGTGCTAAATTTTGCCAAAAGGGTGTGCGAAAGGAACTTGATCCGCATTGCCTTTTTTCCTAACGTTTATTGCGGTAAGGCATGACGTGCTCTCCCCTTCCAGGTTGTTGGTTACATGTGTATGGTTCGTAATAGCATCGGATCGCATGCCTATACGACTGACGAAGTGATTACAGCGCGAAGTGGAAAGCGAATCCACATTTACAACACTGATGCAGAAGGAAGAATTACCATGCTGGATCCTTTGACTAAAGCCAAAGAAGAAGTATGCTTCACTAGTTTTGACTATTAATTCTTATAGTGTTAACGACCATTTCATTTTTTTCCTTCCGGAAACTTGGATTTTTCTAGCTGCTTTCAGGCTCTTAACGAAGTTAATCCTCACCTGATGACAATCGCTACCCTTACTGGTCACGAAGTTCTAGCGTACGGTTACTACGCGGCTTTAATGGACAATGGTATTTTCTCGAAACCGTGGAGATTCGTATTGCCATGAGTAATTTTTTAGGCCCTGCAAAACGAAGCGGCTGGGCTCGTCGAATTCAGGATGTCGGAGATGCATATGGACAACCCGTCGAAATCAGTCGGTTACAACCGGAGGTGAGCTGTAGAGCAAGTCCAGTTGCTTCCTTGTTTCTTTATAGACAAGGAATGAGAAGGTTCTCCTCATTTATCAAACAGCGTATCAAACTAGCAATATTGTAGCTTAGAAAAGCTTAGTTACGTTTTTGAGGTAAATTGTAATCTTGTTTATTTAACTGACTTGTTTCCTTGAGTAACAATGTTTCAGGACTTCGATTTCCATAAAGCTGAATGTGAGCAGGCACATGTACGCCAAGGGGGTACGAAGCCTTCCACTCAAAATATGCGAGGCCATCAATGTCCCGGGGCTTTCTTGATAATGGTAGGTTGCGACTGTTGGCTTCAGCTCCTCTGTTCTTTTTATTCCCAACTATATTCGGGAGTTGAATACTCGGATGAGTTTTTCTTCAGCGTTAGAGTGTAACGCAGTAGTAAATGTTTCATTATTTATATATTTATATGTTTTTCCTCTAGATTAAACTGGTCTTAGGCATCTCGATTGGACGAACATGGATGCGATAGCGATCATCCTTTGAAATTCACTCATATCGATATGGGAAGCGCACCAGGCGAACATCCCGAGACGAGCTTTCCTAATCCGTTGGTCACTTTAGTTGCCGAGTAAGTTTTGACATTTGTGAACTTTTTTTTTCACAATTTCTGCTTCAATTTCTTTCTTTCTTGATTTCATCAGTACTAAGTCATCGGATATTTCTGATTTTACTCGAACATGGCTTTCTGTTATTGGAATTAAATCCGAAGTTTATTTTCAGTCTGATACTGCCGAAACACCAATGACTTTGACGTTCTTCCAAGGGCTCTTCTGATTCTTCTTCTGAGCTTAAATTATATGCTGAGCAGATTTGCTTTGGTTTCGATCATATCCAATTAGCCCTGTCTTCAAATTTCCTATTTATGTTGTCTAGCCTTGTTAAATCTGCATTCTACATCATATACTAGGAATACTAATGGTTGGTAGCAGGGTTTGATGTACTGAAATAATTTTGAACGCTTGGAAAGATCCTATTTTGATAACTTTCAATTTGATAAATATTTAATATTCAGTGGTTTTTCTTGTTATGATTGTGGAATCGTTAAAATCACGCTTTTCTAATTTCACCCTTCCCAGCCTTTATTATAAATGTTGCATTCGCTGTGGTGGTGTCCGCGCCTCCACGGGGTGCAACCGAGCGCTTATAGAGTTCAGGGTGCGTTGAAGACGCATCGGAGCAAGTCATTCTACAAGCGGGAAAGAAATCTTTGAGAATATCGAGCTATTAGTGAAGAAGGCAGTAGACATCCGGCCACGCGCTCACCTTTTCGATACCGCGTCCTCCCTAGGAGGTTTCCAACGCTCCGTAAAGGTGTGGTACACTACCCCCTAATACCCGCCAATCACAACCATAGGCTTCACCCAGGGTACCTTTTTGTTGCATCGCACATGTGACGGATGTTTGGAGACGTTTAAGTGTGTCTTTGGATTATTGTGTAACACATTGATTGTGTTCATAGTCCGCGATTTGGCCCGCGAGCGAGCGACCGGGGGACTACTCGTACGGCGGTATCGATCAAGTTTCAGCTGCAAATAAGGGGTAAGCGCCGATCCAGGTCGCTCGCTCGCTCGCTCGCGGGCTAAATCGTGAACTCTGAAAGCAGCCATTCACGGGACTATGAAATCCGTCTTGTTTTCTGTTTTGACATACGCCTCGTTGACTTGACTCACGCAAGCAGGAGCATGCAGTCCGTCATTCAACGCATTGCGAAAGGGACGATGCTCAGAATTTTCCGATTCATACAAGGGCAATGGGGAGTCTTTAGGTCCAAGCTTTGTTAGTGAACGAAGAGCATAGGCGCTGTTTCTTACTCCAATGAATCGAAAATCAGTTGGGTCGGACACTTCATGAGGTTTTGTGATGACCTTTGGATTAGTGCAGGTACTGACTCGATCCCCAGGACAACAAAGAACAAGAGGAGGGCCTTTAGGGCGATGGTCGTAGTCCTCAAGAAAAGAAACGCTATAACTTTTCCTCGAGGATCCCTGGTCTGCTCTTCGTCACAACAGAGGCTAGGAGGACTTTACTGGCACCTACGCGAGATGATCGATGATCTACGGGACGATAGACGATACAGCGAGGTTAAGATCACGATGATCAAACTGCTCCAAATCCGACTCAGAAGTTAGCCTAAAGAATGGATGCATAAATAAATTTAGGCGTTATAGTACAGTAGCAGCTCGTAGTATGCAATTGCACACCTTAAACGTCCTTACCTCACTTCACACTTCCTACTCCTCGGTGTTTCGGAGATAGTTCGTTTATCCATCTTTGACTCATTTCGCCCCTTTCTCGTATTTTGATTTTGTATTTATATGTTTGTGGCTAATTCCGGACTTCAGCGTGTTTATTATGTCAGAATCACGGTCCAAATGATGAAAACTGAAGGTGAAACCCACTGTGAGGGTTGTTTGTTTTCTGATTGTATGAAACGAACGCTTGTTCTAACCTATTCCTATGACAATTTCAAAACCGAAATGTTAAAATAAGTACAGATGTGGGTGTCATGTTCGCAAAAGTTATATTTGAGGTCCAGGCCCTGAATAAGCAAATAAATATGTATGTCCTCAGCGCTAAATTTTCAAAACATTCGGTGTGGCTCTCTCCTGACTGAAGGTGTTGACTGGCACCAATACCAAAACTGTTTATAATGAAATAATTGAAATGCTTCTAAAGTCAGCTTCTCTCCTCTTACTAAACGAATCAACGTCTCCACCTTTCCTGAGACTCATCAGAGGTTTGGGGTTAAAGCAAGAAGGGGATGTGGAATATATCGAGTCCGGTGTAGGTAAAACAAGCACAGAGGTAAATAAGATTACTGCTGAAGGGCTTCATAATTCCATCAACCAATTAGCGATGTTATTGAAATTATATTCAATAAAAGATAGTATTTGTTTCTCTATATGCACCTAGCAATAAAGGTCATCATCAGTTCCTCTCCATATTCATTTCTCCCAACAATTCCAATCACTTCCTTTATCTTTGCTATAAGCGTCTCCATCCTAGAACCCGCATTGGCAGTTTTAATATTTCTGTGTGTATAATAGAGACTTCATTAATAGTCGAAATATTGGTATTACCACGAAGAAGTTTGATTACATTGAAGATCAACAACTCAGGGAATCTCCCATTTCAACTTTGCTAACAGTGCTATGCTGGCGCAAGTTCCAGTCATTTTGCGCTTATCGGGTGTAACACCTTTTCCGCCATTTCGCTCTATACATATTGCATATGTGAAGGGTGTTCTATTCAGTCGGTATTTAGCTAGTTGCGTATATTTTAGGGCGACATAATTGCCATTTTAATAAAAAGATATCCATTCATTCCCAACACAATAGCTGTATTCTTACTACGTTTTCTTCTGTAATTGGGCACCACCCAGTGAGTCTCCCAAAACATCCCCTCTGGTCACACACGAAATTCGAGGTCAAGCTTTCTTCGAAATGCCCCACATCTATTGCATTTTTCCTGTCACTCATTGTAACTGGTTGGAAAGATTCACAACAGTGGTCTGATGAGTTCTTTCTCTGCTGAAATCTGCATTAAGTTAATGAAGTTAGGCCGTCAAATGTAAAAGTAAACTACAATTCAATATAGTTTGTTGACGTAAGTTGTGTGATATCTCAGCGACGAATTCGCCTTATCATGACAGCCATCGCCCCCTTGTCGCTGGTTCCTTATCATTGAGATTCTAGAACTTATAAAATATTCGTTCTATCAACGAAAAAAGATTTATTTGACGGTCATCACGACTCGCATGTCAATCGTGTTTGCTTCATTTCTCGATTCTATCGTGTCTAGTTGTCACGAAACTGATTTCAAGCTGTAATCCTTCATTACAACATACCTCCCCTCTACTTCAAGGTCGTTAGAATGATCCATCCCCTAATGCACTACAGTGCAAACGTGGTGCTTCTGGTTTTGTTTAAAGCAAAACCGCTCAGTGGAATGAATGTCCCAGTTTTATCTTCATTTTTTTCTGTTTTCAGTTTTCTTATGAGACCCTGATCCTTTGGAAATTGTTCTCTTTGAGTTTCATTGTTGAAATGTGGCATTGGTGGTAAATATTTCACAAAACATTCTAAATTTCCCTTTGTCATTTCCGGAATTTAATTAGAATTTTGCTATAATGTCTATCATTAATTCGAGTCATTCCTAATTAGAATTGCTTCGATGTTTGATTAATTAGAAAGCCTAAAAAAGGGAGGTAAAATTACAACGACCCTACACATTCGTTCACCCAAGCCCAGCCTACTGGGAACTTTACGGAAATTGTGTGTATAAATGATTTTTTTTACTTGTAACCATAATTCATTCAATTTAATCCTATCCCACAGCTGGCACTCGAAATTTGAGCGCTCTGGAAGGATAGTGTAACGTTCACACGGGAATGGCCCCAGTGTTCACGTGAAACCCTGATGGCTAGCTGCCCTTAACATCTGGAAGGGTATCATATGTTGATTAAAAGTGTATATTATGCTGTCTATAACTCGTGACTCTTCTCAGGTGACCCCCTTCCCATCTTGATAAGCTTTGTGTTCGCCATCCGAAGAAGCACTTNCCCCCCCCCCCCCCCCTTCCCTTGATAAGCTTTGTGTTGGCCACCCAAAGGAGCACTTTTGCCCGGTTTGTAAATAGCAGAATCGTTTCATTTCATGCTCACGTCTGGCAATTTTCGGTTCGGAGCACCATTTAGACGGATCCTTCAAAATTGTGGGTAAACGAGGGTAAATCACTGATTGGTATGATTTCGGCGAATATTTTAAAGTTTGTATTGCTTAAATCCTTCTTCTTTTCACTATACCCACGACTGCAGTGTTAGTCTAAGTCGTGGTGCGTTCTGAGAACATTTATCTATGGTGACACTATCTCTATTGATTTATCGTAGTACACAAAGTTTAAGAACGGGCGATGTTGCCAGTGTGGGGTGACAGGCTATTCGTTATCAATGAGATTGCTATGGATGTTTCGATCCTGATGCTTTTAGTAACAGCTTATACCCCCTCTGGAGTAGTTGTGACGTTTCAATCCTTCTTTTATACGAATCCGATGCAGCATGCGCATCATCTAATCCGGATTATTTTGTTTTCGAGCATGCTTAGCTGTTATTGGTATTTGTTTGAGACGAACCAAGGAAAATATAGTTCTTTTATCCACACTCCTTTTCATCTTTTCTCTTTTTCCTACTTTTATCGAAGGTGTCCAGATGCTTGTGCACTGGATCATCGTACGATAAAAGAATACAGTCTTTGGCGTTAATCAGTCGTGTTTTGGGATGTCCCGTCGCACTTGATTTCCATAAATCCGGATGGATACCGATTCGTGATTCGATCCTTGGATCACGGTGTGCGATAGAACGCCACTTGCCACTACACCATTTCTGTTCTAGTATTTGCGTAGGCTATATAAATAGAACTTTATTAGTCATTATTTATTAGGATTGAATTCAGCTTTAGGATTCTTCGAGGGATGAATAAGGTAACTGAAGTATATCATCTCCGTCAGAAATGCTATTGGTTCCTCTGAGCTTGGTTGACAATCTAAATTCGATTTTTGAAAATACCCATGAATTTTCAAGTGACGGGCTAAAAGTTGGAGGCAGTGGAACCAAAAGAAAATTGCCCATCACTTCCATGCATGTCCTCATTGGCGGTCCATTGCTGCTATCTGCTATGCTCGGAGTCTCCTTGGCCGGCCAATATTGGGAAGTTTTTATATCATTCGTCTCTGTTTGCTCTTCTATACTGCGAAGCCGGCTGCTTCCCAACCGGCAACTTGCCTATATTGCCTTCGTCTTAATGATGGCTCCACTGGTTATCGAAGCTCTCTGTCAGTTTATCCATACTAAAGGGGTTGTAACAATTTGACTTGCTGTCATAACGTTTGCTTATGTTCAGAATGGGCTTTTGCTTGAAAGATAGAAAAACAGGGCAATTGTTCTCTTCTTCTTGAGGAACTGGAGTTGTTGATCTGTATCTTTCTCAATGAGCAGGTTTGCTTTGAGAAAATAGTCCTGCTATCTGTTTCATCCGACTTGTTTTCAATAAAAACCTCCATCTTTCACGCTCCTTCTGAGATTTCGCTACATTTTGGAGAAAAACGAATTTCTAGAAACGATAAGTTGTCACATTAATCTCGGATTTTCCTGTGGGATTTTAAAAAGAACTGTGCATGCTAATGTTGATTTCGCGTTATTTTTCGTTTTGGAGAATCCAGTCAACGAGGATTAATCGAGTGTTGCAAAGACAGCTCTGTTGGGAAGATGCTAATGGCGCTAGCTTTCCCTTTCTCACGGACGGATCTTATCTCTGTCCACTCGAATGCCAAAGTGACAGAATGCTTCATTCAATCACCGTTCTACACTGGATGAAATCGCCTCCTTTATTATTTTTCAGTTGAAGCCAGAAGGAGCTGAATTTTTTTTTCAAGTGCTATAACACTTAGAGGAATACCATGGTTTACAGGCGTTGTGTCATCCGTAGAAGATAAAAATGCACCCTATCCAAACACAAAGGGCCACTGAAATAGGCTTGTGCTTGCTTTCGTTTCGTTTGTAATTTCGATAAATTTTTAAATCATTCTCCATTTGTTCCTAATAAGGCTCAAAGAAGAAGCTGTCACGAAGCGTTCTTTGGCAGTTTATATCGTTTATTCTTCTCCAGTGTTTGCGCTCGTATATTTGTACGGCTTTTGCTTTGCTTAGGCTCTTTCGAATTGTTTATTAGCAGATGGAGGATCGCTCACTTGAACATGGTCTCGCTCAAAAATTGATGGTAATGGAAAACGCGGCAGCACGAGTGGCTACGGTGAGGGCTCAGTTGAGGACGAATGTGGACCAGGTATGGATATCTATAATCTCATAGAAGGGAATGGAATCCACGATTTTTATTTGTTGAAATGATTTCAGGCCCGTAAAGAGATAAGAGCTGTGATGTCACAACAAATGTTACTGATCCGTGCAAGGGAGCAGGAGTTGTTGGACGAATTAGATGTGATTATGAATTGCCGAGAACGTACTTTGGAAAGTCAACAGCAATCCCTCTACAAGAATATATGTATGTATTCATTTCTTTTCTTGTCAACATTTAGATAATTTCTGTTTTGGTTTTCAGGGGAATGTAAACAGGCACTGGAAAAGTTACGAGAAACTGGAAGTTCATCAATTTGTGCAGCTGATGTGCTTTCCAGGTGGGTTTTAATAATAAAGAGCCACTCGGCGTTCTATTCGTTTTTAGATCAATTTGCACCGAAATGAGAGAAAATTAAAGTGATCGCAGAGATTTTCACCGTTTTTTTTTTGAAGAAAAAATTGGTCGCTAATCGCTGTTCACATAATAATTCAATTCTTGTTGGTACTTGTTTCCTTTTTCTTTTTCGTTCAATGCAGATGAAGCCCTTCCCCATTATCTCTGTGAACCATTTGGCATTCTTCGAATGCGCCTCCTATTTTGACACTTTCAAAAAATGCTGTCACACTCTATGTTCACGAAAGTTCATCCAAACTGAATAGCCCCCTATTCAGCCTTGGCCATGTCGAAATGTCATCTCGAGAATCAGCTCATGTGTCGTTCGAATCGGATGCTCTTGGACTCCGATCGACACTGCTTTCATTTGGAACGATTCGCACGTCTTCAAAACACGACTCTCTGACCAAGGCAAGTTTTCTCTTCTGTCCTCAGTACGCCCCCTTCGAAATAATTCATATAGGAGGTAAACAACTCACAAAGTCATCTAGGGTACTACGCCAAGTTAATATTCGAAGCTTTATAGCTCTAGTGAGAATATTTGCTGCTAGTTGGTATGGATATGATGCCGAGCACTTTGCCCTTTGTTACCATATGAAACTAACTTGTAAACCCCACATATTAACTAGATTCAATCGTATATTCCTATGATGAGCAAATCATCGCTCTACAATATATGATTGTATTGTGGTGTGCTTTATGTTTACTTCTTTTAACCACATGCTCTCATGTTCTTCTCAAGCTTGCTCGGTTTCGAATTGTATTCGAAGAATTTTGTATTCAATCTAAAATAGGTAAACATAGGAGTTGTTTTGCTTAACGTTATCTACTACCTTGTCACCTGTGTCAAAATAGATCATTCTACGTGTGATTCTTTATGCTTGGTACTTTAGTCAACCCCTGGCGAGAGTCTTCCCATGGAGCTGGAAGAATATGATGACGACAATGTAATGGCACACAAGTCGGTATTTCATAGTAGTTCGACGCGTGCGAATTCTAGCAGCATGAGTAAAGAGCAGGTTGATTCGGTATGTCCTGTTAGAGGTGCTTTTGGATAATTTTTCGTGAATCTGTCGTAATGTAACTTATTTTGAACTATTTAAGGTAAGAAAATGGTTGAAAAAGATTCCTTCTGGTTCAGCCGCTTTGGAAGCTGACATGTCAGCTATTATGGCAGAGTTCGATGTAGTTAAAGTGAGTTCAATAAATTATACATTTCTTATATACGAATTTATCGCCAGACGCGTAACCTAGCCACGAATGCACTAGTTTTCAGCATTCGTTTGTAACGATTCAATCATAGGCAAGAAATTAAAGCTCAATGAGTAACCGTTCTTGTTGCTTACCACTCTTTCATAACCTTCTGTTTTTATTTTTACATGGAACGGATTTCTCAAGTAACTATAAAATAAATGGGAAAATAAAAAGAATATGATATGATATATAGATATGAGCGTGATCGTCTGCTACTTGAAGCATTTCACGATCCAATGAATGCAATATATTTAGAATTGGTATTGGTAGGTTCAGATTTCTTTATACTCAAAATAGCAATTTCCAATTTTCTAGAATTCGTCTTCACCAGAAGTGGAGGTTGAGAGTTCGGACACTGCTTCATCTTTTGATCTTATCGCCCATGAAGCAACACCGGCTCGAACAAGTGCTGATACAGCGGTACAGAAAGTGCTAAGCGCCGAATTCCTAAATGTGAGCTTTGCTGAGCAGTAAATATGTAATGAAGCCTAGTGTCAATTATGTGTTATCAGCACTTCTTTATCATTCTCATTTAAAGACCCTTCAACAGCCGTTATCTTCGTGGTTGATGCGATTGATTCCGAAGGATACTCTGAAGGTCAGTTTCGATTGCAGATCCATAGTGTTCTTCAAAGGCTCATCTTGCTGTTGAACTGCTTTTACGATTAGGATTCTGTACTTTAGTACTTTTGCAATATTTCAAATTGAGATTTACAAGGGATGGGCTGCTTCTGTGATTAGTAATTTAGTTTTTATGGAATAGGTGTATTTCTGCAGGTTGAATCGGAGTCATCAACAGTCACATCGGAGCCTTCACGTACGATGAAACGACCTCATAGTTGTTCCGATGTAAAACGGTAGGCTTTTTTTCACTATTTTTTGTTGAATGCCAACTTGGCTCATCTCCGATTTTCTGGCTCGTCTCACATTTTCTGTAACTGTTTGACGCTTTTGTAAATAGCTTTCATGAACACAAAGCTCACAAATGGTATGCGATCATCCGACGGTAAAAACTGTGTGCGCTTTAATTAATGAATCGGACTGGCGATCGAATCTCTCGGTTTTGGCTATTTTTCTTAGTAGGGAGGTCTTCAAATTTTGAAGTTCCCAACAAAAACCAATTGTAAGACAGTCATCTACTCATTCAAAGGATTTAGTGATACAGTTCTCGCCATTTCTTGGTTTACAATTTTGCAAACACTGTAAAACCTCGCATAAGGCACGTAAAAGGCTTTACTTTCAGTCACTACGAATTTGAAGACGTCATTGATAGAGTACGTGCGTCTAGCAACGACTCTTGGGTTCTAGGAGCGGAACCCCTGAAGAAAACTCGAACTGAAGTGAGTTTTTTGATAAGTGATCTCATTCATTTTATTGAAAACGCATTCAATCAACGAATTTTCAACCCATTTATTCGATCAACACATGCCTATTTAGGATGGCTACGCTAAAGAGGAGTCGTCAATGAGTGAGCAAGAGTGCGAAGCACAGGTTAGATTGGTTGTATTGGGATTTGTTGGTGTTTCAAAATGTAACAGTGCTCGTGTGTCATTTGATAAGATTTATGAATTTAGACGCCAGTTCCATTTAACGAGAACGAGTTCCTGGCCAATTTGTCGAGACTCTTCGTTTGTCCAATGCGATCAACTCCATCGCTGGGTTCGCCACCGGATGCCACCCATCAGGGAATCGACCTCACCACCGTTCTTGGCTGGAAACGTGTTTTGGAAAAAATTGAGCAAGCGGCACCGTATTGGCTGAAAGAGGCATCCGTACAGCCTGGCCTATGATTCACTCTCTGCTTATATTCAATAGAGATTAATACCAGATATTACTTTAGTGGAGCGATTCTGGCAACCTTTTTACCATAGACTGCTAAGCATCATATTATTGATTACGAAGGAGAAGGGCTTCAAAGCACTTACTACTGCGCTGCTTTAGGAATGAGTATTAAGTAACTGAGTACAGATTAATAGGTTTTTCGAGCTTTCCAATTGGACTGAAGTAGTTGGGGGAAATCTTACTTTATATTCGCTTTACTATTTCTAAATAACTTTTTCACATATACTTGTCTGTCGCAGATTTTGTCACACTTTTCCTTCGCGCACCGTTTCGTTTAACATTTATATCATAACTCTCCAACTTGTGATACCTATTTATGAAATTTTAATGCATACTAATTTAGAATATTTGTTGTGAGCCCACTAGAAACATTCTTGTATCAGATACAGGAGCAGTTCGCTAGAATTTTCTTCAGTATGGTACCTATCTTGCGTTGGTTTTTTATTTCACGGAAAATTATTCGTTTCTATGTAGAATTGTCCCAAGTTCTCCATCTGCAGGTCTTACTTACTGCTAGCTTCACCCATTCTCCTATACCCTTGCCTGAATAATATCTAACCATGAGTGTTCACTAGGTGTTTTTGTAATAGTATGTTTATCGCACTTCTTTATATTTTCTAAGGGCATCGATCACATTTCGAACAGTTCTTGTAAAAGGCGGTTTGTTAAATTTGTGCCGTTACATTTTTTTTNTTTTTTTTCTGCTAATTTTAATTCTGGAATTGTGTTGGGCATAGAGTACTAGTGATCATTTCTAGTCATCAATCTTCATGATTCTTATTGGAATTCTTAAGCTTTCAAATCATTTCGAAGTCCGTTAATCGCATTGGCTTTGTGTTTATTGCTTTTATACAATACTGCAACATGCTTTTTTTGTGATCGGTTTTGTGACAAATCATTATGATTGCATGGATCAATTGTTGTCAGAGCAGTTTAAAAAAATAAACCAAACGGTACGCTCAATTGTACAAAGTATAGAATTCAAAAATCTTTGGTTAAGCCTAACATTGGTATCGGGTGACCTTGGATGTTCAGCATGGTTACAGTATACTTTTTTTTAGCAGTAATAAGTACCAATCAAGGTTTGGCCTGGCTAATCAGGTTGGTTATTTCGTGCCATTACATTTTGTGTCTGTTTATTTTACTTTTGGGATTGTGTTACCCAAAGAGGACCGCGAGCATTTCTAGTCGTCACTCTTCATGGTTCTTAGTGGAATTCTCATGCTTTCAATTCGTCTCAAGGTTCATCTATTGCTTTTGCTTTGTGTTTATTGTTTGTATCCAACACTAATATTTGGCTTACTTTATTGTCCTGATAGTTCTTGTAACATAATTGCGAATCATCATCATTCCTTTGCTTAATTTGTTAGAGCAATGTAAAAAAGTAAACTAAAAGATATGCTTGATCTGGACTGAAATTCGAAAGATTCGAAGGTCTGTGGTCGTTGATTTTGTGGCTTCGAAAGCTTAACAAGGAACTCGAGTGATCTCTAGCTGGTCATCTTCTGAGAGATTGTGATTCGATACTGCCTCCCTCCACTTCCGCAACTGCCTCGGATGCTCCTGAAAAGTAATAATAGTACATTTGAAATTATAATATATTAATTGTAAGATATTCCGAAAATGTGGCAGTGGCAGCAGGTATCTCATGAAGCTGCACAGCTCACGGATCGCTAGCTAAGTAAGTGATGCATTCTTCGCGCGAGGCATTAATGGAAAAAGGTACAATACTCAGGTTACTTGAGCATATTTTAAGGACCAGGCACATACTAGGGGTGCTTCGTGACTTAGGTTACGTTTGAAAGAAAAAAATCATCTGTCGTCAACCTTTTGCGCCTGATGCGCCCTCTTTCCTAATCGCATACTAAGGCTTCGTGGAGTTGGGCGTACAAGGCCTACGCAATGATTAGCGTGGTCACCCGATGTACGGGTGTGGTGCAGTAGGAACGAAATTGTCGCGTCGCGGCGAGAGAGACGNTCGCGCGCGAAGAAATGTAGCAGAATGCAGCGGAAAGTAAGAAAACAGAAACAAAAGAACTAACAGTAGGACCATTCCAAAAGCAATAATCGCTTAGCGATTGAGCTGTATGAAGAATGCTAGAACAGTTATAATTAGGCAAATGTTCCGCGACAGACGCGTGCGGCGGATCGATTACACAAAATTGTTCCTACTGCCTGTCTCCCTCCGGTGTACATATCAGTTAGTGCTTTTAACTTCCTAGACAAGGCTGTTACTGACTAACCGACCCAGGAGAATGAAAATCCTGGGTGTAGGAGGGGAACAATCCGGTTTTCTACAGATCACCGCATCATTTGGTGTTTGACTACCTTCTCTCTCTTCAATTTAGTCTACCTTCTATAGCTTGATTGAATCGGGATCTGGCATTGAAGATACCGTAGATTGAGTAGAATTGCTTTTTGTTTGATAGAAGAGTAAGAGATTAAAAGAGTCAACAATAACTACCTTACTACAACCAGCTTATGGCTTCTAAGCAATATCGACAAGCAAAGGATCCAAGTAGCACATGTTTCAGCGAAAGATTAAAATATAGAAAGAAACACATCGTTGAAGTCTCATCAACGATTTTCTCTAGAATTATGTCATGGAGCGTGCCGTTTAGATAAAAGGAAATAGCATGCGAACTGATTTTTCTTTAACTTTCTCTGATCGAGAACGAGTGCTCAAACACCATGTCCGAGATTCTTGTGGGTTCCTTGCAGTAAAATTGAGTTCCTTTACTCGAAACTTCATCCCTTATCTGTGGTCACCTCAGAACATATTCATTTCTGGGTGAAAAATGTTCCGCTACTTCGAGGGCAACGACGTTGGAAATGGTTTTATCACTATTTGGTTCAGGTGTTCTCTCGTTTGCCCTTATAAAAGTCAACATGTGAACGTTATCTTTCTCTCAGCCAACCCAGTGAGCGTTATCATTTCACTGTGGAAGCGTTCTTTAATATTGGACACTGCCCACTTTCAGTATGACCTGGGGAGAAGGGAAGAGTTTCAAAAGGGGAAGTACCCGTGAGAGAAAAAAATTACCAGGAGCTGTTTGGGAATGGGTTTTCTACAATGAAATATTGGTCTGAAGAGCCTGAAAACTTGAAAAAATGAAGAAGTTTTGCAAGCTTGTCTGGTAATTCATTTTGCTTTATATTATGGGTTAAGGGCGGAGATGGTGGGGTGGCAAGTGGCGCACCATGTCACACGGCCAGTGGTTCAAATCCCGGATCGGTGCCCGCCTAGGCAACCAAGCCTTCCATCCCTCCGGGATCGGTGAATTGGTACAAGACTCGTCTGGGAGGAAAAAAGCACTGAC